GGAATGAACTAAATCTCTGAAGAACTCGACACAAAAAGGAATCGGTGGCAATTTTCAAGCACTTTAGCCAGAGTGCAATAGCCTGGTTCCCATTGGGTTTCACGCCAGGGATATAAATACAATCCTTCTACTTACCTGCACTCTTCAGGCCTATCAATTATTCTGCTCCCTCCGAGTTGCTGTTACAACTTTAGGTATTACTGTCCTCTGTAAAACCATCGTAGAGCAGAGTATGTGACTAGTTGCCACAGGCTACAGACCTGATCTTCAAGTACCCAGGCACCTGCAGTTCCTGTCAGTACTATTTTTCAGGTTAGAAACCCCAATTTTAGCTAGGATCAAGGGGAAGGGAGCTCACAAAAACTTGGTGTTAATGAATGCTGGAAAACCAGAGCCTTATTTTTCTGCAAACTTTTGCCTCTTTGGCTAATGCTGTTTCAGCCTGCATATGGTACCTGCGTTTTGTCTGCGTGTTATTTTCCCTTTAGGGGTACTTTCTCTGATTTGTTAATCTCTCGGGTTATTGGATGTATGTACTGTGTTTTTTTTGAGACTTTACAAATAGAAATGTTCCTAATTCCCTTTTTTGCTGAAAAAAGCATTTCTAAAAGTGCTTTGATCACACCTAGTGAGTCTGATTCTAGTCTTTCTTGCACCTGTACAAAACCACAGCCATTGTACTGACTCTTCCTTAGCACATTTGGAGGCTGAAAGATTACCAACTCTCCTATCTAGCTATCAATACCTATCTTTTTATATTTTTTTTTATTATGCTTATGATTATGTTGATGCTGCTCCTAATGAGCCCTTGAATGACACTTTATAATTATGATGAAATCTTGTACATGGGAGCATTTGTTCATGACAAATCTCTGGAGAACAGATGTTCTGATGCTGTCCCATCAGTGCATTCATTACCGTGCCACACACTGTATTTCTGTGATGTGACAGTTAAGAGGGAGCCTATGCAGGGCCCTCTCATTTTGTAGCAGAGGAGAGAGGGAAATCATTGAATAGATGATCAGAGTGCTAATTGGTCTGTGGGAAGAAGGATCAATACCTGGGGAAAAAACAGTGCAGGAACAACGGAATGTGGGTTTGGAAAGTAATATCCTGTGTCTTGTAGCTGATGTTTGAGGTTATAATGGCACTTAAAGATACTAGCTGCAGGCATTTCTTTGAAAATGTACGTGTAGCAAATGGAAATCCAACATAATGTGGAAATAACTAGCTAAATGGAGCATTACGAGGAAGCCCACCGCTCTCACCAGATGTCAGACCTCTCTTTGTGAAGTGCTCTAAAATGTTGGCATGTCCTAACGGCCAGAAAATGGGAACCTCTCCCAGCGCGACCTCACCAGCAGGGCTTGCTTCACCTGGGGGATGAGTTTCAGAGCAGGGTTGCAACAGTGAGGTGTGAAGGTGGAAACCACTTTTGGGGCAGGGATGTGGCGGAGCCAGCGAGGCTCTTGACTCTTTAGGTCAAAGAACTGGGTTGGACTCGGTACTCACCAGCAACCAGCACTGCCCCTAAGGGGAGAGAGTATTTATATGCAGGCAGCTGGTTAGTGGTTGGTTTCTGGACAGTTTAAGAGTTATTAATCTAAAAATCAGGTGTTATTTTAAAATAAATCCATAATTTATTAGTCTTAAACAATTAGAACAATTATTTGTTCTTAATTAATCTGGAAGTCTAAATGCTGATGATTAAAATGTGAGCTGAAGGCAAGGACCGCAGCGTGATCCTGCTTGGCTGAAAGCGGGGGGCAGTGGGGTCCCCAGGCTGTGAACTGGAATAGCAACGGGGGGAAATCTGCACCGAATTTCCACACCTCCCATCAGGGCTGGTCCTTGCTTGGCCATCTTACCTTGACTGATGCCCCAGTCGCTGCTGCAGGGGGCTGCACCTCTGAATTTGCCAAAACTCTAAATCTAAACTTCCGAAAAAGTTGACATCCAGAAAGGAGCTGAAGGAAACGCAGCAGCATTTGTTACCGAATCTTAAATTATCTGTGAAGTATGGAGGGCTGACTTCAGTGGAATTAACACGACACTGAAAGTTTAACCTGTCCATCAGCACATTAACCATCCAGAAGACGCATCCGCATTACTGTCCCTCCCAAATTGTTTTCAAAAAGTAAAGATTACACAAACGTTGTTATCCATTGCTCACGTTTTTGGGGGGGTTTCAAAAAATGGATTTCAGGAAACAAGGACTCAAAAAGGCGGATGAGTGTGGTTATGAACTCTTCTTTGAGCAGGGAAAAATGACCCCAAACTTTCATTTTTGTTTCTTTCCTCTCTGGGGCAGAGTAACCTGTCAAGAGCTAATTGCAGCTCCAACCCAGCCTGGCAACCTGGCCAGGAATGGGGCAGGGTAATTATACCAGCTCAACAAATCATGCGGGCTGACAACTTAGAATGAGGAAAGCTTCAGGAGGATGATAGGCTGTAAAATCTGAGGGAACTTCTAAAGTTACACAATTTGGCGCACCCTAAGGACAGTTTTACAATGAGTTGTCTACTGTGGAAGAAGTCAGTCGACCAGGAGTAGCAAAGCAAGTAGTGGGGAGCAGGACTTGAAATGGTGAAATAAAAATGCTATTGGCCACAAAATGCTTTTAACCTTTGAAACAGTTAAAGAGAGAATATCTATTTTAACCATTGTTTTCAGCAAAATAACCCATAATGGACTTGCTTATAAGAGAACAAGCTGTAGAGGTGCTTTCACTGAGATTTTTCCATACGTGGCCTTCCCAAAACGTGATTATTTTTATTGGTGGTTTTTTGGTTTTTTTTTGCAAATGGAGCTTGCACATTCAGCTATAACAAGCAAAATGCTAGGGAGATTCCCAAAGTAATGCTGGCCTGGCCGCAGTGCACATGTTAACAGGAATTTCTTCTGTTTTTCTTGTTATGCATGTAACTTGATATGTTACTTTTTAGGTTCTTGAATATAAGCCATAATCTACTCGGGCTGCCCCATGTGGCCAAGTTCAAGGTTGTTCTGGGATCTCTGGCTTTTTTTTTTTTTTTTTTTTTTTTCCTGAGCAGTATTCTCCAGGCAGTGGAGCCATGGGGGAACGCTGGTGGAGAGGCATCGGAGGTCGGCTCCCTCCTCCTCCTCCTCCGGGCTGGGAGCTGCGCTGTGCTTCGAGGTCACTCGCTGGGTCACGGAATCGGGAACACACGGAGGGTCTAGGGGCGGTTGAATGAATGCTGAGAAAAAAGAGGATGTGCTGGTATTGGAAGAGAGGGGAATACAGCGATGCCCCCGTGAGACCAGCTCCGACACCGCACACAGTCTGTGGGTCGGAGCTAGAATTAGAAGAGAATGTCTGAAAGCTCCTGGGCCCTCCCTGCATTTTCCATGGCCAAGGCAACGTAAAAAATCCTTGACAACTGGTTTTGGTCGCACTGGGACGTGGTGCTGAGAGACTCTCATCAGGTGGGAGCTGTTGAGGGCCTTTTTTTTTTTTTTTTTTTTAACAAGGCACATTGCCAGCAGTCCCAAGGAAATCAGCAGAGCTCTTCCAGGTCTGGTGCCTAAGCAAGCAAGAGGGAGATTGGAGGCCAGAAGCAGCAAGTCTGTGTGATTTGAACTGCAGTACGGTTTGCTTTGAGATTTTTTCTGAGATAAAAGTCAAAAGTTGACCCTCCTAGCACGGTGTAGCAGAGTAAAAGATTTATTAACTGCCATGGGAGACTGTAGTTTTATCCACTTTGAAAATACTTGTGGACAAACACATTTTTTTCTTTTTGCTAAAATTTTGATAAAACCCCAAGACTTTATATATTATAGTACATGCTACAGTGCAAACAGACCAAGGAGGCTGTAATCAGGACGCTCACTTTGATGTGCATGTGCCTTCTGTGTTAAAAAATTCCCTTCTCTGCTGAAAAATATTAGGTCCCTGCTTACACCGAGTGTCTCCTCCAGTACTTGCTCATTTGTGCTTTTTCTCTATTTTTCAATCCTTTTAGTGACACCTAGTGAAACTTGTGGAAAGTGCAGTTTCAGTTTTCTTTACAAACACGCATTTCACAATGAAATGCCGAAGTACTGCATTTTATTTCGTTTATTGCCCCTTGAACTGCTGTTTCTGGAGAATGACACCAGATGCATTTTGGCCATTTAAAACAATTTTAACTTGAGCCTGTACTATGGTCAAACACCTTATGTGTTGCACTTGACTTTGGGTATGTGTTTAGAATTATTTAAAATTGTCTTCTATTGTTGCTGCTGTTGTTCCTCTACAGCAGTCCCCTCAAAAGCTGCAACTATCTAGACTTCTACACAAAAACCCAAACTCTTGCAGGAGCTTAAGCTACACATTTTGAATATTTGATATTCAGAATAAATATACTGAGTATATTTATATAATATTTATATATTATTGAGAAGTCAGTCAGATTTGGTCCCCTTGTTGCTCTGGATCAATCCAGAGTGGCTGTAAAGCCCTGTTTTAGCAGGAACTGAAGTTTTCAACAGTGATGGAAAGCGTGTGCCTCCTCTAGACGGTGGGCTAAAGGCTTCAAAGGAAGAGCTTTCTCTTCAGAGCATTTGTATGCAACAGCTTTTGAACATGTAACCTCTTCTTCCTCAAAGTACAAACCCATAAAGGCTTATGTTGGTATGGATTTCAGCTGCAAATGATATGGCAACCCATACGAACCAGACTCATAAATTTCTGGAAAAAAATACAAAATGGCTTCAAACAGGCCAATGTTAAATACTGGAACTAGTTCCAAAAAAAATCCTCATCCTTATTGATCTAAAAGGCTTCAACCTCCCCAACTGAAGAACCAGATTCTAACCAGGAGGAGCTGAAGCACCAACTGGAAAGTCCGAAAGCTCCCTGACTGTGAGGGGTGCTGGGCACACACCTGTCCAGGCCCCTGCTTCAGATCCTCTATTTTCTCATCCCTCTCATAGCTCACTTTTCAGAATTTAGAAAATGAAGGTTTAAGTGAAAAATTAATTCAAGTACACCAACAGCAACAGTTCAAACATTTTACTAAATCAATTCACACAATTTCAAAATTGTAAATATAATTAAGGACAACAGGGTTTCTGTATTTTTTTTCTTCCAGATTTATCATTAAGACAATAAACAAACACAAATTAGGTTTATAGCATCTGTTCTTTTAAAAAATGAAAGGAACGCCACTCCATGTATTGATAAAGCACCACAACACAGTTACAAAATAGGGTCGGCCCGTTTCTTTCACAAGTAAAAGACTACATACTCCTACCAGCTTTCTGCTTTAATCCATACTTCATTAAAATAAAACTATAAAATCTCCTAGATTACACTAAGTTCAGACGATGCCTGGTATACAGTGCATTAACAGCAGTAATGCCAACTATCAGTGCCAACATAAAACATTTTAGAAAGTAAAAACAAAACAAAACAAACTCAAAACAAAACAAAAATCAACAGAAAAAAAATCCACCTTTATTCCCCTAGATGAGCAAAATTTAAAATAAGGGATGCTCTGCTTCACAATGAGTTGAGGACGATGGGTAGAAGGGGGGGCTGGTACTGTTGCTTTCTAGGCTTAGTTGGCATCTAGTTTGGCCATTTCCTGCACGTATATCCCTATACTCTCGCTGTCGAAGAGCACGAAGTACACTGTCTTGATTGAAGAGGACATTGTTGACACAAAATAGCTGGAGATGGCTTTCAGGATCAGCTGAGCAGCCGTTTGCTTTGGGAAGCCATTTCTAGGAGGAGAGACAAAAAAAAAAAAACAAGCTTTTGATGGTGTAACCTCGCAGGGAAGGCCCTGTCTTTTCTCTATTGCAGCATGGTAAATAAAGCTACAAAGCTGGTGTTTACAGTCTGAATTACAAAATTGTTTGTTTAGGCAAGACTAAAAATGTTCAAACAGGAAAAAAAAAACCAACATTCCCAAAATATGAATACAGAGCTCTCGCACATTAATGGATTGAACCTTACAAACCCAATGGGTCAATTATTTAACAGACAAGTAAACCAACAACCTGGAGTGTTCAGGAAAGCAGCATGTACGTTAAGAGTTGCAGAGTCAAACCTGTCCCGAAAGCAAACCAACTGTTCCAGAAACATAAAAAGGACCAGAGAACTTGATGTAGAAAATGAAGCATGAATAAACACAAAGTACAAAACAGTTTTACTGCTATTAATGGTTAATACTACAGCACAAAATTAAAGAAATTACTTGTACAGCCTTGCAGCAGACTGAAGAGAGAACAAGTTGTAGTAGTCTGGTGGTGAGAACCACCCCTGGCAACACCCTTACCATTTCAGGTGTGACAGGAAAAGGACACTGAGCAAGGCTGCTCTCCTGGGGCACAGTGAGCCTTGCCCAGATGGGCTCAGACTAACTTTGCCGAGCTTGGGAAGCCAAAGTAGCTGTGTCAGGGCTGAGGACAGACTTAAGGGACTTGAAGGCTTTTCTAAGCCAACCTCGGCAACACTTCCACCACTCCTTCCATTCTTTTTAATTACAAGCTCACTCAAAGTAAGCATAGGCCTGAGAAAAGTATCTTGAAAGACATCTGCTTGGTATCAGCTGGAGAGATCCGAGCACCAGAGGCCTTTCTACTCCTCTAGCAATGCCTAAAGATGAGGCTCCTGCCCCCTTCTTCTGGGGAAGCCAAGACAAACAGAACAACCCTTGCTGCTTTCTCAAATGACAAAAACTGCATGACTGAATTTCAAAGCTCAGCGCCTAATCCGGGAACTCTTCTTACAAGCTTTTTTCACGTTTTTATTTAGCAGCCCTTGTCTGAAAGTTTCATCTAATCTCAAAACAGGTCAAGCACAAGTAGAATGATCTGAACAAAGCCGTGACCTGAACTGTGAGTTTTAGAGGTCCTGGCAAACTCCCAGCCCGGGGTTTCGCCTCGGCCGCAGCCTGAGCATGCTGCTACGAGTAGAACCCAGACAGAATTTGAGAGAGCCTGTGGAACATCACCTGTTCCTTGACACGCATTTGCAGATGTACGATGGTCAAAACTCCCCGATATGTACTATTAATACTACTAATAATTTACAGATTACACAGACGGCTGAGTCTCTCGGAGTTTCCTCAGCAGTTCGAAGAAACTGGGCTAAATTCACCTCTGGCACTAACAGGTGCAGCATCACTTAGCACGTGCTCACTGAAGCACCAGACTCTGGTAATAAAACGCTGTTGTACTCTCCCTCTCGTTACATGCTGCAGGACACAAAATGAGAAAGGCAACTGCCTGTGTCATGGCCCGCTTACTGCACATTGCTTTACCATAAAATACACTCTGAGAGCAATTCTGTGGTAGTGCTGCCTGTAATGTGATATCATACACGCTGCCTGAAGATAATGCTTGTGATATTTCAAAAATGATGACATGAAATAGCTCATGCTGTTTCTTTCTTTTCTGAAAATGCCCAATTTTTTTTTCTTTTACTTAAGAAGACAAAAAGGAAAAAGCATTGTGAGAAAACCTTGTACTCTTCCAAAGCCAACTGAGCTGGTCAGGGAGAATTAGCTGTGTGACAAGTTAATCAACTGAGAGCATAGTTTTGACATGAGTTACTTCCTACTGTTGGCTTACATAGAGAAAAAGACACAGACTCAGCAGGCCTCCACATCGGATCGCTTGCTAGTTACTTAGGAATGCTGCATCCTGGCATACATTGAGCAGATCTTTGAGGAATTTTGCTCCTCAGCAGGAATTGTCACGCAGGCCAGCATCAAAATCAGGGTATAGGCCGTTTCTGAATTGCTCGCAGGCGACTCTGAAGCCCTACGACTTCCACTTCAGTTGTGTTCCAGCAACGCAGTCGCAATGGGGCAAAGGAAAGAGCAGCCTGGTCAAAGGGAGGCATGTGTGCAGGGAAGCTGACTAAAGGAAATTGTTTAGGACCACTGTCTCAAAAGAAAGGAAAGAGACAGAGCAGAAAAATCAGCAGAAAGGTGCTGACCCAACGGCCATGTGTGGGCTGCAAGAAGAAACAGAAGCCTCTTGTGTTGATCTACCAGTCTGAGTTAAATTCTTGTGAAAAGGCAGTTGGAGACTTTAGCCAAGCTAGTGTCAATTCAGATCAAAGTCAGAGCCTCAGGATGAAATCCCTACTCCGAGGATGATTTTACGTTCAATCCCCAACTCTCCTTTCCCTGTTCTCCTGCTGGCCCTACCAGACTGAACTCCAGGCTACCTCTGTACAGCACCCAACTTGTGCTTTCCACAAGTTGGCTGTGGCTGAGCATCTGGCCCACTGAATCTACAAGTCTGCTATTTTATTTCCCCCCGTGATTTATTTGAACTGCCCTCATGTAATCCCATTCCTCAACTATAAAAGAGAATGAAACTGTTTATGTGGGTTTATTGGGTGATGTCTGCTTGACAGATGTCTGTACCAGAACAGCTGCATACATGTGGTGTCTTTGGCATTTGCTGTCTTTAAAAGCTTTACTTTTATTTTTTTTAACGCTTCTGACATCATAAAAACAAGTAAAGAGTATTGTCAGAATGTATTCTCTTCTCTCCAAAATTAATTTATGCTTGAATATCTCCAATTAAGAGAAAAAAGGGAAAATACACAACCTCATATATTTCTCAAAGCCTGTTGATCTCTCTCCACCTTTTTAAAGCACCACTTCAACTGGCTTGAGTGGGAACGATGTGCATATGCCAAGTGGAGAACTTGGCCACAGACCTTGCCTGTCAGTAACCACATTTCATAACAGGATGTGAATCTCATGATTATTCAAGGGTTTCATCATCTTCCAACACCAATCAACTGCTTCACAACCAGGGTTGGGAATGGTTCTTTGCTGGGAGCTATTCAGAAAAGAAAGGGCTCTGTGGAAGAGCCTTGACATGGTCTCGCTTTAGGCACCTACATAACCAATTCTACAGTCACTCCACAGTCCGTGGAGGAATTTGGTTCCTCCCAAAGAGCAGTTCAGAGCCGCTCTTTGTATGGCCTAGCCCGTGAATCTGACAGCTAATTCAACAGCTCTCTATGAACCCTCCACTATATTTCTCTACCATTCCATAGAGTAGGCTCATGTTACCTCCTTAAAATGACACCCATGCAAGCTACCCTTATTTGGAGCTTCGTCTGATGCAAGTCACTTAAACTTACTATTTTAGTGAAACTTCTATTTCTTTATTGTCTTTCAAACAGCACTTCCTGCCCTAACCCACAGAATAGGCAGGAATTAATCTAGTGTTGCAACACGGCACAATGGGAAGAATATTCTTGCTGTACATCAGCCAACGTCTGGCAAATTCAAAAGGGGCAGTTGTTCAGGTTAAACAGAGAACTGTAAATTCAGCCTAGATTTGGCCCTCGGTCTTCATACCAAGCCATCATTATGGGCAAAGTGTTCCAAACCTCCCTCCCCACCCCAAACCTGAGAGCCTCAGATTAAAAGGTGTAGTCCACGTTCAGACTCTTCAGAACGTGATCCAACCTTCGAAGGCACTGAGCACCCTGTACGAAGCCAGAGGACCTTAACTTTAGACTTTGGCTTTCAAAGACCTTGGCAAAGTCTTCTGAGGCCTTTTGCCTCTGAGCGAGGCCTGTGATGCGAACTGCACTGAATTCAGCTTGAAGTGACTCCGCAAATCTCGGGAATCAGGGCACTTTGGGTTTGCTGCTTATATGAACATTGGGCTATGACTTCTGGCCATCCTAAGACACAGATTGCAGTAAGTTAGTTTATTCACTAAAATTAGGTAAAATCGACCCCGTTTCTTCATGTTCACCTCCACATCCCCAATTTATCTGAACAAACTGACAGTCTGAAAAAAACTCTTTTAATATCCTCTTTAAAAGTTCATTTTATGCTCTTTAACTTATTTGTATGCTTTAAGACTCCGCAGGGATCACAGCTAGACCTGCCAAAGCTGAACTAGTATTCAGAATACTGCAGGGTCCGTGCACAGCTTGAACAGACCTAGAAGAAACTTTTCATTTAGGGAACTGATCTAAACGAACAAGAATAAAGTCAGCACTGTAGCAATGGGTTCTGTACATGAGAAGGGACTGGAACACATAATGCAGCGTTTAGAAAACGTGACCTATTTGGCATCAGGTCTGTGTAACAGCCTTACCTGCCGCTGCCAATTGAAGGAAACGCAATTGATTTCAGCTTCTTTTCATCAGCCAGAGCCAAGCAGTTCTTCACTGTCTTTTCCAGCAGCTCCTCACATTTGTCTGAGCCCCAACCTGGGCTATTACAGTGGATCACAAATTTCGCAGGCAATCCATGGCCAGCACTGACAACAGCTAGTAAGAAACGAAAGTGAAACGTCATTGTTCTTCTCTCTTTAGGATTAAAAGAGTACATATGTGATTACAATAGCAAACAACTGACAGACATTCCTTTAGCCCCTGTGAATGTTTTAGATTACAAATCACAGAGCCTGAAAATATAACAACATGATTACAGAGACTTTGTATTTTCCATTTCCAGCTGCACTTTGCTATGGTAATTTATAAATCATAGCTATAATCGAGCTTATTTTAGAGAGAGCAAAAATTCATGGCTGACATCAAAGAAAACACATTTATTGGGGATTGTGCAAACTTGTGTAACGTGTAAGGCAAAAGGCAGTACTCTGTCAGAGCACAAACCCGTTCAAGGGATGACCTCGCTTTGGTTCAGCTTATTGCAGAGCTACAGTAAATATCAGGATGCTGGACAGTCGCACAGAGTTATAACCTCTGTGACCTTCAGCTACTCCTGCTAAACACAGTTTGTTTAGTTGGTTTCTGATCACACTGCAGGCAGACTGGAGCCGTTCGGAGCTACCAGTGCTCTGCAAACTGGTCAGCAAGGCTGGAAAATAGGTGAATTTAGATTTTTGCTTAATTTCCAGCTTTGTTTCTGAGTAACTGTAAAGAAAACGTTTTGTGAGATTTCGAGTTTGGGCCTGGTCTCGTTAGAGGTTTTTTTGTGTATGGGTCATCCACGACCACTTAAAACTGGTTTTACTTTATCTCTTTCATCATATTCTTGACAGATGTTTGGAGAGGATACATTTATAGATTTACAGTGTTTAATTCACACTATTTATGTATCACAGGCAAGGCCTTGCATGTACAAAGAAATAAAGAAGAATTTTTACCATGCTAATTGTATATTATCACCACAACACTACCCATGGACATGTGGGGACTAAGAGGATGCAGCAGAACCTGCCCACAAACTACTGACAGTCAGGGCTTCTCCAGACGAGAGGCCTCGTCTCAGCAGAACACATTCTGGGTTCACCAGTTCCCATCCCAGAACAACAGACTCTGCTCAGCCTGCCAGAAAACAGGGTAAGAGGATCACTGCCATTTCTGAACTCACAGCTCTGTGGTTGCAATTAAAAACTTGTAACTGCGATTTGTTAACAAAAAAAAAAAAAAAAAAAAAAAAAGGAAGAAAAACACCCTAATCACAACCTGAGGGAAGAAAAACACCTAGCTGAAACCTCACAAGAGCATACACTGAACCTTCACAGAGAGTCAGCCCCCTCCTAACACGCACACTTTGGGATATAATCATACATGGCCACAAAAGTGTAGGTATAAAATGGCAGCTTATGTCTTGAAAAACAATAATAAAAATACCAATAATTTGAAAAAATGTTTAAAAAAAAAAAAATCAGGTGCTTAGAGGCCAGAAATCCTCTATTCCATTCTGGAATGTTTATGAGGCATTTTGTTACTTAACTATAGTAGAAATAACTCTTGGAGCACAGTCGTCACATATGGATACTATCCTGTAGCTGCTGCAGGAAAGAGAAAATCGACTTTGCCATATGGCACTGTGACTGGAGGTGAATCAGAATAGTACATTTTGAAGGACAATGGAAGCACAAGCATTTATGTGCTTAGGGGTTTGAAGATTCTCAACGTGTTGAATAGCCTCAGCGTTAGGCAACGTTAATTTGTCATAATGTGCAACTAAAATGTTGGCAGATCCAGAATACATCATAAATCCAAGAAAAATCCATTAAAAGTAGCTGACAAATCTCTAGTCAGATGTGAAATGTGGATAATAACTTCATCCTGAAAGAATAAAATACTGTATTGATACACATCATCAACTTTAATATTTCTCAGGGAGTGTTTTCTAGGGTAATCATTAATTAACTCATTAGGATTCTGTTGAGGACAACTGTTAATTACCAAGAGCCCTTCAAATTTGAATTTACTTCCATTTACTTCAAATGCAAATGCTCCAAAAGGGGAAGTAAGTTATGGTTTTGTTGTAGAAACAGAAAGAGAATCAAGGACACATTCTATGGTAGTGACAATTATATTCCAGGTAAGGATCCTGGTTATTGGTAGGTTAAAAGGATACCCATAGAAGTGAGAAATCTGAACACTGGATATCCGTGTGATGCACACTGATCCTTCTCTAGAGTCCTCCACCAAGTCCCTGACAGCCAGTTTCTCCTGGTGTGGCGCAGCGCTCCCCGCGGGGTAAGACTGCCCAACAGCCCTCACATCTGAGGGATGCACTGATGGCTGAGAAAAAAAAATAAAAATTTTAAAAAAAAATCTTTCCAACTCACAAACTACCTGTGAGCAGTTTGGTCTGGGCCAATAAGGAATACTGTACAGAGTAAGAGGGGAAAAAAAAAAAAAAAAATTGATTCTTCATATTTTCGCAGAACAAGAATTCCCAGAAAAACTTATTAAAAATTTTAAAAAGCAAGGAAAAAAAAACCCAACGTATTAAGCACTAGAAGTAAACAGTTGTAATTTTTCCTGTCAGAGCTGAAGTCTTACATCTCCCCTTCAGCTTTAGTTAGAATTCGTTTACAAAACCGCGCACACTGTATTTATTTTTATAGCATAAACACAGATGGCAGAATCAGCCTTCTATATGAACAACATGTATCAGCAATTTCACAGATGGTGTAAAATTATGTATCGCCATTACCAAACTTTATTACTCATATAGTAGATTTTTTTCAGATATTACATAAATTTTGATAACTAGGCATCAAAAAGTCGTAAGCTTTTACAGTGATGATTTTGGCACTGATTAAACAAAGTACCCAAGCAGATGCTTAACTTCAAGCACGTGCTTAAGTTCAGTGAAAGTCAGTGGCATTTCAGCAAAGCAGATGTTGAAAAGAGCTGGGCTCAACTCTTCTGAAAAATAAGCATCTCATTAATTGCTTTTCCGAACTGTGCCCTTAATAATCAAGGTTCGTTGTGTACGCGTGTACCTGTCAATAGCCCTGCTTTTACTCGTAACATGACATCACTGCACCGTTTCCCAGATGCTTTGGTAAAAGTTACTTAAAACGCAACGTGCGTACTTGAACTCTGGAGAATACAAGTATCACGTAACCCGTAAAAGTTGTCTGGAGAGAGCGCGAGCCCCCGCCTGGCACTGGAAGGAGCCTGGCTGGCTGAGGGCACCCCGGGCAGCCCGAGGCCAGCGCCCGCCGCGCTTTGCTCGCAGGTTTCCGAAGCGCAGAACCTCACCTCCAGCTATGTCCAACGGCCCGTTCTTTTTGCGAAGCTCAATGACAGCTTCCACAAACTCCTTGCCGCCTTTCTTTTCCAAAGTGCTCCCTGAACAGAGAATTGTTATTTTACTCCTCTGATCCCAGGTTTCCACAGCAGACATGCGACTCATCATTTATTTTTTATTACATCACTCTAGAGTTTTCTGCCCAAACGTTTTTTTGGGGACTGCAAAGTAAGATCTAAACCTTTTGGGACTTCAGAATTAGCTAGTCATTAAAAACAACAACAACAACAACAGAAAGAATAAACCAAAAAAGACAACCCTAACAACCCAAAAACCTCACATCGGTATCCCTCGCTAACATTCTCAGACTCTGATTTTAATGTCAAAACATCTGACATGACATCCCTACCTCCTTCCTTATCATGAGCATCTCTTAGTGTGAAATGTTCCAGAAGAATGTGCTAGCTCAAGAGTGGTTGAAGGTTCATCACTCCTTCCCCTAAGATTCATTTCCCCTCTCTCTTACAAATTGTTTTAAAGAGCCATTTGCCACAATAAGAATTTGAAACTCACCTGATCTTGGTCCCTGACCCCAACAGGTGGCACCAGGAATGAAACAGTCTCGTGAGTGCAGCGGGCTGCTTTACTTGGTAACTGCCCAGCTTGTTGAGCCACCTTTAACCAAGAGGAAGAGCCTCAGAAATAAGGAGAATCTCTAAGGAACATATTCCTCCAATGAACTTCTCTAACTACAGCTAAGGAGCTGGACAAAGTCATTCTGGGAGGAGAAGAGCTGTGCAGTGTTTCAGGGCAACCAAAAGGTATGCTGTTTACAAAGGCAGTCCATCACTAAATGGTTTAGATCTTATTTTGCAGCTCTAGTTTTAAATATTAATATATTTAAAAAAAAAAACAAACCAAAAAACAACAGCCCAAGAAAGCATTTTCCTAACTACATAAGCAACCCACGTAATTTTGCACTGTGCATATTAATTATAAAGGTAATAAGTAAAAAGCAGTGATATCATAAAGGCTCTGATTTATTACTTTGAAAACTGATTTCCAAAAATTCAGAACTATGATCTCTAAAGATCTAGACATTTATTTGGTGAAACCCCTTACTTTCACTGATGAAGAAAGAAAAAAATGCATTTTCTGATGGAAGTGCACATAATATATGCTCGAGGAAGCAGAGTCCCTCCTCCAAGATTCAGTTTACTAAACAGGATTATAGCCTTAAGAACTAAGAGGACTGCAAGATGCTTTTCTTTTGACACCATTGTTAAATTTCTTCCAAAATGAAGATTAAAAGTTGAAAACAATGCATTTGTTTGTTCATTCAAAAACTGACTCTGTGACCTTGCCTCTATTATGCTGTTGGCAGTTTATTGCTTTTGGGGTACAAAAGCTGAGCACAATTAAAAAAAAAAAATGTATGCCTTTTCTTTTGCTTTTTTTCATAACCAATTCACAATGGGTGTTTGCCAAAAGCAGGGCTACAAGGTCAGACTGTGTAGGTCAGAGCGTAATTCACTCTTTGTGCTCATTTAAGTTTTTTTATATAAATACTCTGGTCTAGCTTTATTCAGACAAACTCCCGACTAAGAATTTTCAGAAACTCAAAGCTACCTTTCCCTGTGCAATTGAGGGAGGGCACCATCTTACAAATCTCCCGGAAAAAGAGAGTAATGGCTTTATTTGTAGCAGCAAGGTGTCTTAGGAGAGTGTGCTAGGAAAGGAGATCCACCCCAGAACGGAGGTGCTGGGAAAGGTGCTGCCAGCACCCTGTGCTGCACCCGTGGCTGACACCAGGGTCTGAAAACATCTTAGAACTCCGACAGAGGAGGGATGGGGAGGGAGAGAAACAGACTTCCATTCTAGTTAGAGTTGTCTTGTACGTATTTCCATATCAGTCCTATTTATATTTGTATATATTCCAGTTATATTCCCCTTGAGTCCATGAACTCAGATCAGTCCTAAAACCCATGACATTCATAATCCTTAATTTCTCTTGTTTCAAGGAGAAACGTAATTAAGCCTCGTGCAGAACCTAGGAACAGAAAAGATCTATTAAGTAGGTCATTTCTTTGCCATTGCAAAGCTGTTGTACATTTAATGGAATTTAGCCTAGTTTGGTTTAATTCAATCCAGAAGGATCAGCTTTTTCCCTTCTACTGGGAATTAATTTATAATTAAAAGCAATGAACAACCCTGTCAGTTTATTTCACTGAGCTCTCCTTGCAGATCTGGTACAAAGAAGAGCAGAAGTAGTATTTGGTATGAATCAGTAAGGTTTTCTGCATTTACTCCTCAATTATGTTCTTCTGATTAACAGTGAGGGTTTATATTGAAATTGTATTTCAGAACTATGTTGTAAATTAGCGTCATCTCGGAAAGGACATACTGTATTTAACCATTTTCCACTACATTAGCAAGTTTCTTGATGGAAGTCTTGCTTCACAGCTTCAAGGTTAGTAGCTTATTTGATCACAGGCATAAATATGTGTCACTCCCATGAGAATAAGATCATTATCTCATGCTTTCCAAGCAGGCATTGGTATCAGTGTTGAAAACAGCGTTAGCAGAAATTTAGGCTCTAAAATTCTCAGAATAAGCCCCCAGTACATTTAAATTGTTAGGGAAAAAAACAACAAAAATTAAAAAAAAAAATTAAATTTAGATGGGTAAAAGTTAATCATTGGAAGCTAAGCATTTGTGCACTTCTATTCTTTCTTACAGCAGTCAGAGGCAACAGGAACCTACACTAAGGAACGAGCAGTACAGCTTCGAGACACAATTTTCTTTGTAGGGTAGCAAAACATTTCTTTGTCAAAGGGTAGGAGACAAGCACATTAACTAAATGGGTCTGACAGACTTTAGAAGCCTATTCCTCAGATACAGGGTATTATGACACATTTATTTTAACGGCTCTGCATAATGTTTAGCCAGCCAAGTCACAGCTGTTCCTGCCCCACAGGCTCTGCAGAGCTACATTTGTCTGTGTGTTACTCAGCAAGGAGCCCCTTCAGAAAGAGCGGGTGTTGTAGAAACGCCAGCTCCACAGCTGGATGTGTGTCCCCCCAAGCCAGCACCAAAATGGGGTGTCAGGCATGGAGGGAGACCATCTGCACAGCGACGATGGGGTTAAGAGGAGACATAGAACAGAGGCTGGGAGCAGGTGACTTTTTTTTAAGCATGGTGGGTGATCACCCTTACCAGCAACTTCTGCATTCTGCCCAAATTCTGATTTGCCTTCTCAAATTACCAAGGCAGTTCAGTTAAAGTACTGCTACCCTTTCAGCAAATCCTTCAAAATACTGTACGAAGAGAGGGGAATTACTAAGTTAAGAGTTACTCAGGGAACACTTAAGACACTGAATTCAGATGTCTGTCATGTTTTCCATCATGCCTTCTCTCATCGGTGTAGCTTACATGACTGACTGCCTGAAAAACATCCGTGGCATCACGAGCCGTGTGCTTGTGGGCATGAGGACCGTTGAGCAGGGCCAGGAAGGTAATCGGTCCACAAGATGAAACATGAAAAGAAAACCCCTAACCAATCTTAAGAGTTCAGAAAATATAGACGGGCTAGATCCGGCATGACAGATGTGAACATCTGAAACTTGGCGTGGAGAAGGTGTACTGGAACTGGTTAGAAATCTAAAGATCAAGCCTCAAACCACATTCAAGACAGGCATTTAGCATGTCAAACAAACAATGCAGTAATTCATTTTCCTTGGTCACATGCCTGCGTTGAACGTACTGTTCCTGTACTTCAAATTTTGGCGGTGTGTTCTAGTCTAACTTCTGAAAGTCTGATTTGGAGATAAACGTCAAAAATGCCTACTGAGTTCACAATTATTCATTTTATCATCAGTCAGGACTGCTGGAAGTGAGAAATGAATGCAAATCTGCATAGCTACAACAAGCTTGTGGCTGCTGATTGACCATGCACACACATACAAACTCCGCAGCACTGAACTTTCCATTACCTACTTCACCACCGGTGTAGAAGTCAGAGTTTGTCGGGTGAACGACAGCATCACTGTCGATCGTGGCAATGTCAGCCTGTACAACTTGCAACTACAACAGGTAAACAGATGTATATCAACCACGTTGGACAGAGACCCAGCACAGGCTCTACATTTACACATGTACCAACGTCCATATTTTCCTACCTTTACATCTCCAAACCTTGCGCCAAAGGAATATGCTGAGTTGTGTGTGCAGGTGTGTGTAGAGAAAGGGGTGTAGGGAACAGGAGGAGGAATATTGAGTATGACATGATCAAATAAATGTTAAAATGACAAGTCAGAGCAATCACATGAGACCATTTCCAAAGTTTTAAAATCAGCTAATACCCCATTTCACTTTGCAGAAACCTAGAACAACCAGTTCCCCACAGAGCATGACACTAAAATATGGAATCTGTTTAAAAAAAGAAATTCAGGATCATCAAACCAAACAAAATAACTAGTTTCTCCATTTTGTCAGCACCAATAAGCTGACAGGCACTAATCCTCATATGTATGGCAATTCATCATTTTGTTTCTAAAGCTGACAGTCTCCTTCATCTGGAGGAAACCATGTATTTGCAAACAGCACTGTTCTGAATTTGCTTAAAAAAATATAAATGATCGATCTTGTATTTTAAAGGTAAGGCATATTTTCTAATTATGTGTTGGAACGGCTGAGACACTTGTAAAAATATACATATTTCTGAGAAAGGCTGATTTAAAAATTAGCCTTCTTAAATCTTTTTCTTGTTAAATTACTTGTGTACATTCCCATAGGAAATGCAGTACTACAAGAATTATGGGTTGTATTCCATTAAGGAAGTTTTAAAAAAAAACAGAGCAGCAGGTACAATGAAATAAGGGAAGGCAGTACATAATGCATAAAAGTTAATTTTTCTTTTGCTGAAGAACAGACTTTTGTTGAAGGGGGATTTTTTTTTTTTTTTCCAGTCTGGAACAAGACAAGCTTTAAAAGTAATGCACCAACTATGACAGTATCTACAAGTTCAGTGTTGGTATAATGTCTGTATTTGTTTTCAGATGAACGTGAAAGTGACAGGGAGTAATTGAAGGATAATGGAAACAAATTATTTGACTGAATTAAACATGAAATCAAGGTAGGAAAGATTTGGGACGGGTAATTATCTAATCATTCCTCTTTAAAAAAATGTATGCCTACTGAGTATCAGAAAAAAAAAACAAGACTGCCATTAGAATGGAGAAACTGCTTATTTTGAAAACAACCTGACAAAAAAAGTATTTTAGTCCTCAAAGTATCCAAATAAGAAACCCCCCAAAATAGCTAACAGTCACATATGATCATTATGGAAAAGAATTTAAATGATTTGTTTTAACTGAAATCAACTTGAAGACTAGCAATAGCTGAACATATTCAGATTTGGTGAAAAAGTCTTTTGAATATAGTTCTTCGACCAAACGGAACCTGGAAGATTTGAATTTCTGCTCTTATTAGATGTTTGAAGCCCTAGAGAGTAAATTCTGGGTTCCATAATTTCCATGTGACCGTTAGTTGTGTCAACCCATGCCCCATTTACCTAGGTCATCTTTAAGGTCAATGTCAGCATTGGTAGGATTGATAATGGCCTCCACCTCGAAGCCGGCTAAATTACTGATTTCACTGTGAATAAGGTTCAGCTGAAAAGAAAAGCATGAGGTGGGAAATAACAGGACAGCTGGGAAATCACAGAGAAGCTGCAGAAAAGTGAGCTTTGCAACACAGATGGAGATAGCATCACTGCAAACAAATATGCAAAATAAAAGGCAGGTCATAAAGGAGGGTTATTATCCAAAAAAAAATGCAAACACAAGACTCAAACACTGGTCACACTGGGAGGATGTGAATGCACCTACTAACAAGCTCTGGTCTGGCTTTATGTTGGCCGCTGTTTGGGATTCTTATTTTGGCATTATCAGAGGGTATTTGCTTATTTGCTTCTCCTCAAATTACAGATGAAGGACACCCTAATCATTTCTTACACGTCAATTACGGGAATGTGCCATGACCACTCAGCACTGACGCTGGATAAAAGGTGCTGCTCCTCTTCCTTTAAGCCAGCAAACACGAGCGTCTCTTTGAGAAAGCACACGTTGGTCTCCAGCAATTCCTCCGCCCTAACAAGGGGACACAATTCTTTTTCTTTCCTAACTAGTGGTCACTGTATTCTGTACCGCAGGCACTTCAGTTTTCATTTGCACAGTTCTGCTGCCTTTGTGAATGGCTGCTGAAGTACTGTAAGCAGCACTACTATGTACTTACTGCTTCTAGTTTTTGTTTTATTTGCTTTACTTCCTTTTGTCGTTGATGAAAACAGAGATTTTAACCCCACCCACTAGCGGCCATTAACTCCTCTCATTAACACCCCTGTATTTACAGCATGCTTCTCAATTGCTGTCTGAATCATTACCAAAGCAGGATTCCTTCTGGCCCTACAGTAAGGTGAGGGAGCAGCACAGATATCTAGAGATTAACCTCGCATCCGCACTCTGCGTTCTTAAAAGAATAAAAAGAATTAATAGAATAGGAGGAAGTGCAGATTTCATCTTCCAGCAACACATTTTGAGCAAGACTTCCAAACTAGTGTATAAAATAAGAAGTCAAGGAAAAGACCAGCAATGGTAACAAACTGATCCTGCCATGCCATACTAGCGAGGATGTTTCTTTGGAAGTGTTTAGAGGTGTAAAGTAAGAGCACAATTTACTTACTACTGACAGTTCAGGGGTTGCATCATAGGGTGTGACCCCCTCCACCACAGAAACAACTCTGTAATTTGAGGCAATTTGATGCCAAACTTGGCAAAGGTGAAACCTGCAGTAGCTGACAGGTACGTGAGGAAGCTTTGTGACAGGGGTTTGTGACACTGCTTCACAGCCAGCGTTGGGAAGTTTGATTTCACGTGCACCAAGTTTACTATTGTCAAAACTTAGAACACTCTAAAGCACAAAAATTTTTCCTCGACTCTTTCATATGGGGAGATATATTATCTACATCATAAATTATGCTTCTGTCTACGAACGTGCATTAAGGTGATTGTTTCAGTAGCTGATTAGGGAATAGGGAAAGTAACTATGAAACAGACAGTTCTCATTCATTTATGCAAGTCCTGAAGCCAGCTGCAGTTAAGCCAGGCTTTCCTTCTAATACAAAGCCTGCTGGGTTCAACCAATGAAGCGTAACATATACATTCAGGCATGGCAATTAATCTCATCAATAACTGAATTTTGTCTCTTGATTTGTAATCCACATTCTGTAAACTTAACTCTTCCAATCTTCTGCTTGTGTATGTGAGTTTATGAACAGGGAACACGAGCCAGTTCATGTAACTAATACAAGTGAACGGGTCATTTAAGGAGGCCAACATCCATATATTTAAGTTTTATGAAAAAATGATTTCCATTTCATTCATGTGATTATATGAATTGACCTTCTTTCTCTTTTTAAAAGCCAGCAATTTCGTGTAATTTGCATATGTTGCTTGAGTAAACTACGTTCCCTCAAAAGAGGGTGATTTTGGCTAAAAATGAGTGTAATTCAGCCCTGGTTTAAGTATGGGTCTGTTCAGGAATTTGTAATAAAACCCAAGAAAGCTTGCTTTCCAAATAGCTTAGAGTCCTTTAATACTTCACATGTGGTGACTTATTCATACTTGAGTTTGAGTCTTGAGTTTGACTACAAGCAACTGCTGTTTAAAAAAAAGTCAAATCAAACCAAACCAAAATGTTAAAGAAACTTTATGAATTTTGAAATTAAAAAAAAAAAAAACAACAAAACACATGCACACACCAAAAGACTGTTTTGTGGAGGTTTTAGTATGTTCCTAAGCAGATTTTGTTCATTTTATAGGTGCGTCTCTTTGATCCTTAATTCTGTGTTCTGCAAGCTTTTGCCCCAGATCTATTGGCCGCAGACCATTTTGGTTTCAGACCTTTAATCTACCTCTGTGCCTACTCATATATGGGATTTACGTAGCAACCAGCTCATTAAAGTTTTAATTTAACAGCAACAACAAAATGCTTAAAAAGCTGCCCATCATTGACAGCACGTGTTGGCAGCTGAGTATTATTTTGCTAATTTTTGCATTTACTGTTCAATGCACTGTTAGCTCTCCGATTGCCAAAAACAATTAAAAAAAAAATCAGATGCTTTCCCATAGAATTAAATCCTCCAATGCGTAGTTGCTCAATTTTACTACCCAATAGTGTGAAGCATGAAGGACCACTTTTAAAAAAAAAAATAAATAGGCACAACTTGGATATAAATGTGCAACAAAGAATGGACATAACTTCAGGTAACATTTAAATCAAATGTTAGTTAGATAAAATGCAGATGGCACTTAGCACATCCATGAGTACTTTCTGAGCCAAGCCTTGCATTTCTTATTTCAGACAAAATTACCTTTAAAGTCTCGGAACTTTTTCTGGTATGATTTTCATAGAGAAAACTGAAGATGCCTGTTGCAGACAACAAGCTGAGGTCTCTCTGAAAGTCCAAACCCTAACGCTTAGACTTGAGGTCTTACAACTCTGCCTCTACTCCGTAATTGTCTCAGAAAAAACAAACTAGTTAACGTGCAGAATACCATGTTTCCATTGGGATGTCACTTGTAGGATGTACAATCGTTTACCTATTAACTAGATTTTAATACTTAATTAGTGTAGCACTAATACACTTTTACAGGTATAACTGAAGGGTTCTTCGCCATTTCCTGACCTCTAAGAATTTCTAGCTCAGTGTCTGCAGTTACCTAAAGATTTAAAGCAGTAACAGTACTTTTAAAAAATCAGAACAGTACCCAGGTTTGTAACTTCCTAATCTGTGTTTTCAGTAATTAAATCTGGAGATATTGGAAGGATGAAGAGCCATTCTTGCAAATAAACCCCTTCCCTTTCCCTTCTGCAAACATGGAGCTAAGAAAGAGATTTTTCCATTAAACACTTATGAATGACGTGATACGAAGAACAGGGTTATTTTCTTCCTTCTCTGCACCTTGTAAATTATTTCCTGATCTAGCAGATAGTGGTTCTGCAGATCAAAGAGACAGGCTGTAAATGTGTTCAAGGATGTCACAGGAGGTTTGAAAGACACTGATTGTTTGGGGTTTTTTCAGTTTCAGGTTTCTGTGTTTGCACTGCAGTTTATTAAAAAACACACAGAATGTGAAAGTATACTGAAAATCTGTATGTACAAATTAAAAAAAAAATATCAAATAACTGTGATTAATACAAATATTTTTGCTTTTCAAATGGAAAAGCTCAAAAGGTTTTAACATATTAAGCTTTCCTACCATCCATGTGAAGAGTGTAATTGTATCTCCATTTCACTAATGGGGAAGGCAACAGAAAAAAAAGGTGATCTACAGCATCTCTCAATCAGCCAAAACTCTTGGTTTCCCGGCCTCCAGCTGAACAACCTAGACATGCTGTCCTCCCTAACCAAGAGACTACCAGAGTTTTCCTTCCCTTAAAACGCTGTTTAAGGAGAGTGAGGGGCTATGCTGAAAGCTCCTCCACACAGGCAAACACCTTCTGCCCTCACACGCTTTGGAAAAAAAATAACATGCACAAGTCTAAGGAACTGAACTGCAACGCTACTGTCCAGAACAGCTACTGAAGAAAATCCATAGTTCATTATGTTTATGAATACTGGGTGGCACTAATTTAAGACAACTATAATAAAAGCGAACTTTTTTTTCTGTTAAGCAGACTTAAACAAATATTTTAAATATTATCTTTTTAAACAGCAATTGCATGTAAAAGGGGCTAAGCAGAAGCATTTTACCTGATTCAAAGTCACTAGAGTTTTCATAAATGTTATACTTAACTTGTGAATTTTCAAAATAAATAAATTATTTGAGACTTCCATGTGTCATTTAAATAATTAAAACAACCACCACCATCAATGAGGTTGCAGTCTGTTAAACCTGCACAAAGCAGCAGACATCCTGGCACACCCAGGAGCCTCCTGGCCCACTGCAAAACACACCTCAAATTTAAGGAGGAGGAGGATGCATTCAACTCCCACTTATTCCACAATTGAAAGTTTTATCTTTGCCTTTTTTATCACAAGAAAATCAAAATTATTTTGATAATTCTGAAATGCATGTTTTAAAAATAATTTCTGGGGAAATGTCTGAAAATATTTCTAGGAATAAGACACTAATTTTTTTGTTTGTTTTTTTTATGCTAAATAAAATCTCTTTGATCACTACAGTGCAAATGTTTCAGCATTTTAAGTTTTCCACATTTTCAGTGTTAAAAGAATGGTCTAAATGTTCTATTTTGGGGGTAAAATCAAAACAAATACATTAATACATTATTTATCAGCTCAAACAAGGTGAGCATTTAATTTTTAACTCACACGTAATAGGATACAGAAAATTCTTATATATTTGTTAGACATAGCCTACTCTTCTTAGATTTTTCACTAACCATTTACTGCCTCTGAAGGTAGTTTCACACAGGGAACCAAAAGCAAAATATAATCTGTGCTAGACACATCTCAGCAGCACCTATGCATTCCCTACCCCTCAGAAAATAATCCATTTCATTTGGAGTGCTCCCTCACAGGAGACAAATGGGTTTTCATTTTCCTTTTCATTTTTTCTTTTAATTATGTGTGCTCTGTTACAAATAAAGGCTACCTGGCCCCTCTCACACATAGGGCTAACTGACAGCAAACCAGTACGAGGATGGATGTGTCATACCAGTAATTTTTTCAAGGGGCTGCACTCCAAGTGAATGAGAAAGCCAGAACGTCCATTTCCCAGCACAAGGTGCTCACTGGAGAGCTCTAACAGACACTGGCTTTGCTCACCACAGCTTAAAGCGGTCCTGGAGTTGCTGATTCTCCTCCACTGAGCCCAACAGCAAAGCCCTGCTGATTTGCTGGGTCAGTCTTGCTGGAACACAATGCCAAGTCTTACTACAGGTTTCCTACGGTAACTAAAAGGAGTTTAAAATCAGGTCCAGAAGTCTGACATTACTCGCTTTCTTGAAACAGTAGTGTAGTTTATAAATTTTGGGTTCTAATTTAGTCATCAAAATGTTTTTTAAAATATGTTCGAAACCACCCCCCTAGTAGTAGTCAAATAACAAAAAAAACCCTACCAAAGCAGCAACCTAGCTCTAGCAGTAAAATTAAATGTGGAAAATCAGAAGTCTTGCAAAAAATAACATTACTCTCATGCACGTTAAACTTGGCAAACAAACTGTGGCAGTATAAATGAACAACCTCAGTATGAAATAAAAATGAGTCAGAGGAGATACATTCCACAATGGACAATGGCTCATCTTTTATGGCTTACAACACAATGATCTGATTACTGAATGATAAAAGAAAGATGCAGTTTTACTTAACAAAATTTTGTATCACGAACTAAAGGCAGGTTTCAAGACCGAATTAATTTAATGAATTGTCTCTTTAAATGGATCCTCTCTTTGAGCAGACATGTATTTGTATTAAACCACCCCATGTCCCAAAGCATATTCACAAGGAAAAAAGGATTGTTGACTTCTAGCTTTTCATAAAAGCATCATTCATTATTACACAGCATTAACTTTTGTAAATAACAAAGCAGAACAAAACAGAAAACCACTATTATGAACAAATGTCTAAAATAGGTTTTTGATAAAAACCTGAAAATCGTTTACATCAGCAATGAAGTGGGCTGCCCATTGGAAAAAGACATTTTATTCTTAGAATAATCTCATTTTTAGCAGAAGTTTAGCTGTAACAATTATGCTGTTTATGAATAAGGCGAGACAGATTACAAGCACACAGGCTTTCCTTCTATTTGCGTTTTTAATTATGTAGCCATATGAAGACTCATTTAGATATTTTTTTTAATGTTCTAAAAGTTGTTTCAGAGAATTTCTTTGTTCAAAAACTAACACCATACACCTCCTCAAGTGCTCAGTGGGGAAATGTCCATTGTACCTAGACGTTTTGAGGAAAGGGGGGTGGTGGGAAGGGGTATTCCCTAAGCAGCACTGAAAAAATAAGTATTCATTTATAAAAATGCAGGAGCATACCTTCTGGCCAAGAAACAGACTTTTGGTGGACAGGACCGTGAAACCATCTGCAGGAGTTCCCTCTGTTGTACTGTCAGCACTGGCTGATTTGCTCACTTCTCCCTGCTTCTTCTTCCGAAAATAGGGTTAATTAGTTAACTCAAGGCTGAGAGAAAACCAGTTTAATAACACTAAGATATACGACAAGCCATAAATGCTTACCAGGCAATAAAATGCTAGTACAGTGGCGTTTGGATTTTATCCTTTAGTCTAACTGAAGTGACTGATTACAGCTGAAGGAATCAATAGGAAAACCGACCTAAACATCTGCATATCTACACAACCCTTTTCTTGCTTACGACAGCGCACAACTCAGATGACAGTTGTCTTAAATTTTCTAGGAAGAGATATAAACAGCCCCAAACTTTTAACAGCTTTCTAATGGCTTGTGTGGAAAAAGATAATGTCTCTATTTATATGTGTGGGCAGACGTTCGTTTTAAGGTAAAAACTAACTTGTCAGAGCTCAAAGTTTCTCTCTCCGTGACAGGAAGTGCTCCCAGATTTCACAAATTTATTTTTAGAAATACTGCTTTGAAATCTGGCCATCCTTAGAGCCAGTGTCAGAATAATACATCTACTTTCTACCTGCCCAGTAGTAGCAAATGGGCTGAACAATCTTCTCTGTCCTGTTTAATATCATCACCTTCCTTTATCTCCAGTAAAACTGTAAGGGGAGAAGGAGTTCCCCTCAACCACCATTCCTTTTTTCAACTGTATTACTGAAGTAAAATAATGGGTTTCACGAATGAATCGATGTACTGCATAAAAAGGAGAATTAGGAACATTTTGAAAAGTTTCATGAAGATAGTGAATTGACTGCTGAGGTTATAAACTCGGTTGGTGCCAAAAATAATTTCATATTTTCAATAAAATTACTACTTATAATTTCATATGAACCTTTGGTGACTTAGCAGTATCTGTGCTGAAGCTAAAAAGCACACCTGAAATACTAAGCAAGCCCTTGTTCTCCTATCGTCCCTTTCCAAAGTATATAAACTAAATCTGTGGCTGAGCAACCACAAGGACTTTGATGCAAGGGTATGTTGGTGCTTCTAGAAGCTGTAACCAGGCTTTATTTTACACAAATGTTTTGAAAATTAGATTTTCATGAGTCCTATTTCAATTCCCCAGGAGTTTACTGTTAGCCAAATACCAATATCGTAAGCAGACAATACAGTTTATTGTGTAGAAGAAAAACAGAACCCCACAACAGACTTCCTGCTTTTGTAATCAAGTAGGAGAAAAAAAATTCCAGATTTAGAGAAATTATTAGTGCATGGTTATTAGAAGCACGACACTTGAAATGTCAGCTACTAGGTGTTCTGAGAGAGAAAACTAAATTCAACAGTTTGAAAAACAAAAGGGTGAAACAATCAGAAGAGTGACCAAGTAACAACAACAGATATGCAGGATGAACACAGAAGCTTTGTTCAACCTGGAAGGCACTGTCCATTCCATGTGAAATTTGTGTACTTTTCTCCCTACTTTCATCATCTATTACTTGACAATAGATGTTTTGGAAAAAGAAAAAAAAAAAAAGATTCCCTACTCCTACAAACTGAAACAAAACAAAACAAAAGAATAAAGGAATGTTCTCCATAGCTTGAAAAAAGATCTTGTTTCCTAGCATAAGAAAAATCACATTTTGGTCCTCATGTTCTTCCTCTCACCTCCATACTTTGTTTTGAATTAGTTTCATTACTAAAAATTTAAAAACCCCAAGTCTAAACATGGAAGAATCTCATCTATAACATACTAGTAACAACAGAGGAGGACATTTGTGGGTCTTTAGCTCAGACAAAGGAATTCTGTGCAGCCACAATACAGTTTCTCTGATGCTCAAAAGACTTGGCTACCTGATCTACCAGAATTGCATCCTGCTTCAGGAGGAGTACTTCACACTCCTTGGATTTCATCAAATCAACTAAGAGCCATCTTATACTATACTGGGACAAAACAAAACCCATTAAAAAACCCCACAAACACCAGAAAACTAGAACACTCGAAAACAGGACTGCTAAGGGCTGAGGACATTCTTACAATGCGACTCGGGCTGTTGTTTTCTTCAGTATTTAAAACTGCAAAACGCTACTTTAGCGTGACTTTACTTTTGAAAAAAAACCCACCCAGATTCCCTGTTTTTTGCAGACACATATAAATACTTGAACAAAGTCCAAGCAAGTTTACTCTGCCCAGCCCAGCGCAGGCACCTGCGCAGTCCCAGCAAAGCTGCCCCTACAGCTGCTGCGTAAGGTCTCGTTTGCTCACCAGTAAGACACTAGTACAGCCCCCATACGTCCTCTTCTTCTGGCTCTTGGTGCCTCCAGCCTGTGCCCACCTGACAACTGTTTCACACACGGAACAGAGTATTTACAACTTGCTGACCGGTCCTGTACACCTGAGCCACTTCTGAGGTTTTTCAGACTTCCAGCCAGGCTGGGGAGAGGGCAACACTCCTCCTTCAGCATTTGCTTACACTGCTATTGAAATCACTGCTGTTAACAACGCACGGAACAGAAAGTCCCTACAGCTTCTACTAAGCAAGCTTGTTTGGGTTTAAAATAATTACTCTACCTTGGATTTCCTTGCTCCTTTCTTGCCACCTGTTTTCTTTGATACCGTTTTTTTCTGTGATGGAGACTTTGCCTTCTTTGCTGGAGGTGGAGTGATGATGGCTTCCAGTTTTCCTTTTGATCCCCGCTTCTTTGCCAACAGCTCTGGGTGAATATTGGGTAACACTCCACCACTGGCTATGGTGACTCCTTTCAATAGCTAATAAAAAAAACATTTTAAAAAGTTGTAGATGACAAATTCCAGCCTTTACTCACCAATAAATAGAAAATAGCATTTACTGCAAACTTTGTACACTGCCTCGAGTTTTAATTGGTACTTGCATGTTTCTTTACACATTATCCTTGGAGAAGAGAAGTGTGAGATGTATAAAATGAAGCTGATCACGTACTAGATTTTAACTATAAAGGGAATATGTATTCTTCTTGCACATATGCTTGCTACTGTCAGCATCTCTCGGGCTCACACAAGATCTGTTTCTATGAGGCCATGAGATGAAGACTGTTACCCAACTACTAGAAAACCAGACAGCCCCAGCCACAGGGGCTCTGCGGGGCAGCCTGTGTGAGGAAGATGAGACCCCAAAGTCCACAGTTCCAGACTGCAATGGGTACCATGCTGTGGAGAACCTCATACAGGTCCCAATTGATGAATTTTCTTGAAAGTGCATTTTAAAAACATTTTTTTCTCAGAAAAAGGAAACTTCAAATGGAGGGTTTATACAAATCTCTATACCTGGAAGTCTTTCTTCAAAAAAATCTTTATGTAGTTGAAGAAAAGCAGATCAATATTCAAAAGTGTGCAGTTCATTCAAGCCTTTAAAAGCAGAGGTGAAATATATCACGTTCTGTATTTAAAACCACTTTAATTCAGTTTTTATACATCTAACTGGGTCTAATTCACTATTGAGGAGAATACAAACAGTGACATCAAAAGTCCCTCAGGTACTCCCACCTTCTGATGCGTGTTTACTGCTCCCCAACCACAACTCAGTGAGACTCCAAGCTCACAAAGGGATGATGAATGGAAAGTATTATCAAATTTCAGACAAAGCCAGGGGGAGGTTGGTTTGGGGATTTTTTTTTTTCCCTGCCCCATGACAATACATAGATTTGGAAAAAGTGTCTTTTCAGACGTGTTTTTACAGCACCTCACGCTAACGTACATTAATCCTCGCCAGTGCCTCTGGCTGACACCCCAACACTGTAATAATCATGCCCAATTTTTTTTCTGGCTACGTTAAAGGCATCTTGAAATCCACAAAGGACTCAGACTTGCAAGCGTTCCAGAGCTCTTAATTCCGTGGTCACAATGACAGACTTCAATGGGAAGAGGATAGGTCCCACTGAGTCCTATGCTATGTAAAGGGAAAACAAACAAAAAAAAAGCATCTACAAGATTTTCTCTGTGTCTCTATGAAGTTTATGACAACGTCCCACTCTAACAAAAGTGGTTGTAATAGTGTGAGGAAATGTCATGTTTCATTTCCACTGCATTTTTACACATTATAATAGTCCTGAAATACATAACTAAGCTGAGTGCTGTAGTTAGGTACACAGGCAGTGTGCTAGGGAGTGAATGAGCTGTTTCCTGGTGGGCTACTCAATAAGCAGAGGTCTTGAGTTACAATTCAGCTATATGGAAAGACAATTTAAAAAGCCCTAAAGGAAATTCTGGCCCTCACACGGCGGAGTTTTTTCTTACCTGATTTAATTCTTCATCGTTTGCTACAGCCAACAGGATGTGTCTAGGAGTGACTCGACCCTTCTTGTTGTCCCTTGCTGCATTTCCAGCCAATTCAAGAATTTCCGCTGGGGAAAAAGTAAGCCCCTTTTTAATTACACTGTGATCATTAAGAAAAATCAATGTTATTTAGCATCCATGCAAAAAGATACCTGAATTATATCATGTTATTCCTAACGGCTGTAGAGTACCCTCAATAGACAGCTACCTCTAAAATTATAATTTTCTTTTTATATGTCTAATCATCGAAAGGCAAATGTACACTTCAAGTCCCGTGGTCTAAACAATTTTTACTTTTTTATCATTTTAAAGGAGTTTCCCTAGATTCTTGACTTTTCAGTGTTCTTCTCTAGGGTACTGTGTGTTTATCTCCTATAATTCTGTTCCCATCAGGTGACGGAGTACTAGATGTGCAAATGTTATAGCTTTTTTCTCAAACCTGTCATAAATGCGAGTTCTGGCTTGCATCGCCTCTACTTTTCTATTACTGCAAAAGATGCTATTCCTAGTTTCTCATTTTTAACATTATGGAAGCATGCAAGCACACCCCCAAGTTAGTACACTAAAAATATAAACTCTGCTGCTACGTTGACCTAACGAATTTTTTTTCTCTATCGGAGAAAAAGCTTCTGTCCAGAAAAAGTAATTGATGCATCATTTTTGTTTGCTCCTAGTAAATTATCTCCTTAGAAGAAATCTCCAGTCCTGACAAAATACATTTAATAGCTGTGCACATAGGATAGCTTGTATTGGAATTAGGAAACATTAACTTGCTCCCCTGCAAGGATCTAGGAAGTGAAAGTCTAGAGTGTTACCTGCTGACTTATCTGTCTTCAACTCAACAAACCTTAGTCAAAGAATGCAATTATTACAGGAAAGTCTGGGGAACAATTAAAAAAAATGACATAACATGTTTATCTGACTTTGCAATTATGTGCTATTGCTGTCTCCATTATACATAACCTTTCATCTCCCTCTGCACAGACTGTGTTTCACTGTTGCTTTTGCTACATTTCCTCTGCAAACCTGGTAACATTTGGAGAAAAAGAGAAAAAAAAGAAAATGAAAACATCTTTTTTACATCTATCACACACTAATATATTAAAATTTAACATTAGAAAAGGGCATGAGATTGATTTCCCATTTAAGAACTGATTATACCATGACAGCTCTCCCATAAGCTTGCTTTAGAGCAAATAGAACTGAATTAAGACATTAATCTGGAAATGAAAGACTAAAATCAAAGCCCACATGACCACATGCCTTTGCCATAACACATAGTAAATCTTAAGTAATACTATATAGCACAGACTATGGATTTTCATTAGACTGAATTTAACATGATTCTCCAATTATTTTTCATCGTAAGTCCCATAATAAACTAGTTATGACACCTACTGGAAAACTTCCAGCTGCTTCTGGATGTTCTACAGTTAAACTTCGTCGAGGATTTTGGTAGGCTTTCACTGGTTTTTGTGTTCTTCAAAGTGCACAATTAACTTTATTATGGGGCGAGATAAAATATTAAGTCTAAGCCCCCCAAAGTAACTCAGCATTTCATGCTGACAATTGCTTTAATTTATTTTTAAAGAAGGATTAGCAGGGTAAGGTCAACCTGACTATGCTTTCCACACCTCCAAAGAACTCAATTAAGCTGACATAATCCTTTTCACATACTTCTCAAAAGCTGCAGCTCAGACAGGGGAGGGTTAGCTTGCATTCCGCACTGCATATAGCGCCTGTAGTGACACGAGACCTGTATCACCTTCCAAAGGACAAGCTGTGCTCTCGGTTACACCCCCACGCCGTCGCCACTGCCCTCAGTAAGATTCTGTGGTGCTGTAATAACGCCAGCATCTCCACCTCTCTAGATCAGGAGTTGTTTGGTTTGTATCTCAGCCTTTAATACCGGCTGAAAAGCACGGGGAGGATTTGCCCCAAACAGCAAACTACTTTTTCATTTGCCTCCGTTTCCCCCCACCTCCACTTCTTTGCTGCATCAGGCACTGCTAAACAGTTGGGCCGTGTTATTCTCTGCAACTGATCAGCATAACTATGCAGACAGGTCATTTTGTAACTAAAGAGTCTAAGAAAGTGTTATGCCTGTAAAGCACAGAGGAATGTTTTATTTGTTCCTCATAAAACTGAAATGTCTGCCTCGTACAGTGGAGAACTGTTCTTGTAAGTGCTAAGCCCTCTTCCTTGGACAGGAAACTCGTTTTGAAATTACAGTTTTCTAATGGTCCTTTAGGGAAGTTGAGGTACCCCACTTCCTTTTCAGGAACAGAACGCTTTGCACTGGCGTTGAGGACCACAAAAGAGGAGCTTGGGGAGAGGGAGAGAGGAGGAGGAGAGCACAGAGGGTGGATTTTTTTCTTCTGGCCTTCTCCTCAGCTCTTCAATAACAATCAAGTGTTGCTCAAGTGCAAGCAGAGACCCCCACAGCACAGAGAACAGCAAAACACAGCCCTGCACACAAGTCCGGTCAACGGGGGACCGTCCCCTATTTCAAACCAGAAAATTAGGAAGTATTCAAGCTGAAGACAATATAGGCAACAATTTTTTGATGGAGACAAACCTAATCCAAACCCAACTGATGCACTGATGGAGACAAACCTAATCCAAACCCAACAGATCAGAGCACTTACAAATGCTAGAAATGAAGACTTCCTGGACCCGGATGGGATCTGGACTACTTGCCTGGATTTTGCTTGCAGCCTGCTCACATCTGTTTTATGCTACTTTAATTCTAAAGATTTAAATGGTGTTTCAACCATGTTTTAAATAAATTTTAAAAGTAGATGAAAATCTAGCTCTCTCCGTAAGGGAGCTGACTCAAATTTCCAGAATTATCACTCTGGATTTAGATGTGGAGCTGGAAAGAGTAGTGGGTGAGAAAAAGTATTGACAACTGAGATTGGATCCGAATTCTTAGGTCAGACCCATCTTTGGAAGTGCTATTCTATCAGGCTCAAAGATTTGAGTCACTAAAGAGTTCTCTTTCATTAATCTTCCAACAGGAGGAAAAAAAATAGACATTCAAAAATCAACGCCTACAACCAAATGTGGTCAAGAGACAAAGCTTTGTTGTAAGTGTTGAGGAAAGTGTTAAGAGCTTCCATGACATCAGGATTCAGTCAGCTTGCATTTATCCAGACAGAAGACCAAAACAAGAAACATTTTACAAAAATGAGGCCTCACAGAAAGGATGTAAGTTGCATAATGTCTATTCCATTCCTTTCATATATTTACTCAAGGCATTTCCCCCCTGGAGAATAATTACACCACCACCACCACTCAGGCAAAAGGCAACTATGAGACACACTTTACAGAGGTACTGAATGCCAAAATCTCTGTTGCTTTTTTTTTTTTCCCCCCAAATGAGGAAAATATACAACTTAATTCAATATCATAAACTCCTGAAGGTATAATCTTTCAATTACCACACATTGAAATCTTAGGTTAATATGAAGAGATATCCTTTGTATTTGCACAAACGGCTTTTTTCTGTGCTTTTAAATAATTTCAAACAAAGAAAGCAAACCAGCATGTATTGCTTAAACTGCAGATATAAAACAGGGAAAAAAAGCTGTGAGAAGTATATAATTAGGAGAGAAAAAATTAAGTAGGAATGCCATGTCAGCAGGCGATATATTCATGTATGGACAGCTGTTGGGTAGCACGAAAGGGGATGGATGCCTTAGGAGTCTGACTATAATACGAACATCAGTTTGATTTCAAAGACACAGTTGTGATCAGTAGATTTTTTTTCTTTTCAGTCATCTTTAAAAAGTGGGAAGAGAAGCTTCAGAAATTTTCTTTTAAAAATTAGCCTAAATGTAGCTCTCATTTATAGCAAATAAAAAAAAAAAAATCCTCTGCAATGTTTAAAACTAGGCAGATGGATATGGACAGTGCAAACTGGTCTAAGCCTGTTTTCAACTCTTGAACCAAAACCCCCCCTTTTTTTTTTTCTCCTGAGATTTTAAAAAGTACAGTTAAATATTTTTAAAGGAGAAAAGAAAACAGGTTGTATATCTTTGTACTTAAGCCTGAGACAAGACCACAGGAAAACCTGTTCTCGAGGCATTTCCTACTCAAACAACGAAAAAGTTTTAGAAGTCTCCACAGAAACCTCACCCTGAATTTTTCAGAGTGAGTTCCTCATCCTTTACTTGCAGAGACTGATCTCTGGTCATCTCTTGGCCATCCTACTAAGTTCTCAATTTTATTATTCGCCTTTCCCCGTTTCACAGTGATACCACTCTCTGCCTCGAATGCTGTTGCTTTGGTATTTCACAACACAACTTTTCAAATCAAACCTCCACACAAGTTAAATGAAGTTAAAATGAAACAAATTGCTATCAGACCTAAACAAAGCAGGCACAGTAGCAAATGCAGACCTGCATGGAAACAAAACCAAATGCATTCTTCTCCCACTCCTGGAGAATGCTCTAGTTAATTTATCCTCATTGTCAAACAAGATATTACTGGTCATTACTGAATAAAACTCCTTTAAAGCCTAAATGACAAGGTCTTTAGCTTATCATGCATTCTGGGCTGTAATACTTTCTTAATGTGAATACTCAATTCAATCTGGTCTGAGTTCATCCCCAAAATGTTTTTCCTTTTTTTTTTTTTTTTTTTTTTTTTTAATCCCTCTGTCCACCTTCTCTTCAGGGAGATGAAATCATAGCTTTGAAAATTAAACCCTTAACAACTAGCAGGTGATGTGTTGACACAAGGCCAGTTTCTGAACACGCAAGTTTCAACAGGAACAAGTCAGGGGTTCTAAAAAATTCTGAAGCCTCTCCTCAAAAGAAAATTGAGAACAATATCCAGAAATCAAAGAAAAATGAATGTTGATACAATTCCACTGAGAAAATATGTATTTGCTACAAAGCCAACTACATGACACGGAGTCTGTTTATTGTAGTTTAAATTAATCATCCTTCCATCAGCATTTTATTGACTTCAGAATCATTTTACATGATTCTGGAAGGTTTTAACCCAATCAACCCCAATCAACCAAGACTGTTAAAAGTTTCCTGCATTCTTCTCTCTGTGT